CATCTATTTCCTCCCAGTAAGGGTGAAGCTTTCCTTGGCCACCTGGCGGGGCCAGACTTCGCACCAGGACCATATCTCCTTGCTGTAGCACCCTGCTGCATACTGCACGCTCGTAGTAGCCTTTTCTCCTCTCTGCAGCTTGTCCCATTCTCTCTGATGCTGAGCCAACCTCATTTCCAATCAGGGATGGTCTTCTCCGGCTCTCCGACTTCTGGTCCTTTTTATCCTAATCGTTACATCACTGCTTCTTCGATTATCCAACTGTTCGTGTCATAGGACGACACATCGTCCTCGTGTCTCTTCGACGATGGCCGTCCTGGCAAGGTCGCCAAATTTGTAGCGCCCACACCCCGAGGGAGGGGGCATACCTATGAAAGGAAGACAAAATAAGAAAGGTGTTGACTGAGATGCGTGGCAAAAACAAAGTCTTTATTACTTAATCTTCTACAATAACAGTCTTTTCTTACAATAACATATATAAGATCAAATGGCATAACAATACTCTTCAAGTATTAAACACAAATAAATCTACCTGTTCGCATACATTGAATCATTAGCTCTCGGTGTTCTCTTTCTATATCACTAAGAACATCATCTGGGAAAGTTTCATTACATTACTATCTCTAAAAGAAACTATCCTTACTTTAATGCTTTATTTAAAAGCACAACTCTTCATCGATCTCATAATCATAACTTGGCTACTAATAAATAACTTAACCCTTATCAAATGTCTATAACATTGCGGTATCAGTCAATCTACTTTAGCTTCTAATCATATAACTCTTCACTTAGCGTCTCTTTCAAGAAATCACATATATAGACCTAATACAAGAATGTTGGCATAATCATCCCTATAATACTGCCTAATAAGCTTTCTACTCTTTACGCTCCAAGACTGAGGATCCCTTGTGCACATAGACCCTTAGAATGTAATTCTACTGTCAGCCTTCACTAATCCCTAAATTCACAAGTTACTTCTTGTCTCAGGACTTCACATTAATACTGAATAAACTTATAACTCTTCCTTAACTATAGCTCATGTATTTTCCAATAGTCATCTGCATCACTTTGATCTAATACTATCTTTTTCAGCGAGATTACTGAACTTGAAAAGATACATCTTCAACAACTTATATCCTAAACTCCTTACAATATTCACAGAACTGGCAAATAGTCTTAGTCTGCAGTCTGCACTAATTATATAGCTCTAGCAAACTAACAACCAATATTACGCTTTCCTCTTACTGTAATCTCATCTACACATACATATTTATAGTTCATATTCTAATTCTAATCAACCACCGATAGTTTTACTAAATACATGTAAATTCATATCATGGTTATATACAAAGCAAAGTGAGAGTGAAAGAGAAAGGGTGAACCATACAGAGAGAGAGAAAGAGAGAAAGAGAGGGAGAGAATATAAAGAGAGAGGGGGAGAGAGAGAGAGGGATATATATATATATATATATATATATATATATATAAGAGAGAGAGAGAGAGAGAGAGAGAGAGAGAGAGAGAGAGTAATCCCCAATAACATTTAGCCTGAATTATCATTCCTAACAATATGATAATACAATGAATTTCACACTGGTTATGTAAGTCTTCAACTATAATATTTCATCAACCAAACCAACTCTAACTAAATACTAGACAGTGTGACCATGTGTTTCTCAACAAGCGTATTCCCCAACAGAAATCCTTTGTCTTCTCATATAGCAATCTTGCTGACTCTACCAAACTTTCATTCCCGCCTAAGATACCATTTTCCAGCATGGGTCAAAAACAAACACATTCTATCTCTAACACTTCTCAACATAGCATTTGGGTATAGCATATACTCTATCCAGGGATATGTGAGTTTAAATGGATACCCCATCTAAGAGGGCCCTTTGAAGCACTGCGAGGCACCGACAGTCTTTTTTCCCCTATCATAATCCCCTTAATCCCCCTCCCGGACCGCACAGCTCGTAAATCTCACTCCCGAAACTGAGTGACATAGGGCTCGCGAAATGCATTGTTGGAAATACACATCGGCTGCTATCAACAAAAATGGCGGCATACAGTAGGGATGAGTATTTGCTAGGCGACGATTTAGACTTTCTGACTGGTTTTGAGGAAGATTTAATTTATGGGAAGTTGGAGACCAACACAAGTTTAATATGCACGTGTGAAATTCCATCAACGGAAAATGTTAATTGTTGCAGCAAACCAGAACGTATGGTTAAATGGTTTCATCGTGAATGCGTAGGCCACTTCAGCAAAACATAGATAGTTGATGCGTATTGACTACTAGCACTGCAGTACGTGTAAATAGGCAGCATTTGAATACATGAATAGTCAATACACTCACGACATACAAATGCACATAATTATACCGATGCGGTTGATCGGCAAGTTTGACAGTAGACTCACGATTTTAATTTTTTAATTATTCTTTCTAACATCGGAAAGTTTAACAAATTGTATTTTAATGCTCTTTAGGTGTCATCAATCGTCACTAAAGTACTGACTTTGAGTGAAATCAGTTGAGTTTTGTACAGTGGTGTTTGAAATGTTGAGAATCAATAGCACAATTTTTAATATACGGCCAGGGTAGTAATGCAGCTGTGTGTGTTTCCTCCCACAACATGCAGCATGTACAGCCCAGCGACCACGGCGGCTTGCGCGTCGCCTGCCCGTACTCGGGGTGAAAAGTGGTGATGAATTGACAACTTCTAACCCTCATTAAACCAAATGCGCAAATATACAACACAATTTCATTTAGTTATTTTAAGAGATAAACTTATGGACTACCTTCCTAGTTATGTAAAAATTTCGGAAACTTTCGGAAAATGTCAATAATTAGAAGAGAACACGATGATGATGAGAAACTTGCATTCACTCTAACTCACGATTTCCTTGGTCGATTTCGCTGGTTCAGATGGCTACGTCTTCAGTAGAGTTATCCGAGCACAGCGAAAGCATTTGATAACCAATAGAAGGTTGTATTGTGCCATAAGTTGTCGATTTTTGTATTTTATATGTTATAGCTATATACATCTTCCATGAGTATGACGTCATTTTCTCGGTGACTCGCATGGCTTCAAAGCCTTTTTTTACGACCAAGTGTTTGGAGAGCTTAGGGAAGCAGACCGTGTTGCGTAACATTTCGTAACATTTGGATTGCCAGAGGGCATCTGTGGTCTGATAAGGGCGGCTGTTGATGGATTTGATGGCTGAAGAGGGTTACATTACTTGTTGTTAAGCCAAGTTAATCTTGAATATCTTTCCCTCGGGAAATTCTTTCGAGACGGAATATCCATTTAACTCACATATCCCTGCTCTATCTACACTGTGTGCGTGTAATGCATTGCAGTGGATGGTCAAGCTTGGGGGGAGAGGGGATTAAGAACTTTGATAAGAAGTTGTGTTCACATTGCACGCACTGCCATATCCTAATAACACACTAGTATTGTACACATGGTGCGTCCACACTCACTCATACCATAATACTGTAAGTTAAAGATAATCTGGACTTGAACAACTCATTTCGCTATTCAAACTGTATCTAACTCGAACTAGAATATATAACAATGTGCTTTGGCATAATGCATAGTAAATGGCACATGTCCTTGGCTAAGAATATATATATACACATGAATATCGAGCAAAAGACAAATATACTGACAGTAATAAAGTATATTCTCTTCTCAAAACTTACTTAAAATGTTGTCTAAATCAAACAACATAATCATCAATCTCACACACACGATAATACTTTCCTATCATTTCTACAAGTGATTACTATGTTCATCAATGACATTATCTCTCCCCACATGGCATCTCTGCCCACATGGCATTTCTTATATTTCCTCTCATAGTTCACATGTCATATAATCCAACAAGTCATTGGCAAAGATCATTAATATCTCTTTTTATACAGTAATACAAGATATATGAATAGTGAACTATAATAGTTTAGAAATACACATAATTATTATGGAGAACAAGAATATAACACAATTGAATAATAAAAGATTCTTTCTTACCTATTAAAGGAAGACAAAATAAGAAAAGTGTTGACTAGGATGCATGGCAAAACAAAGTGAGAAGCCACTCCTGGTATCCCAGCTGGTGTGTTTAGGTTAGTTGTGGGTGAGGCCACTCTCGCAGGAGGGGGTACCTAATTAACTAAGAGGAGGGACTATATGGGGGCTATAAATATAATTGTGTCATACATATAGTCAAAGATATACAAAAAAATAGGGGGGGGGGGGTATTCTGTGGGGCTCCACAACTGTTTCTGGCGGCTGTCCAGACAAACCCTCTAGGGTTTTTATACAGCAACCAAATTCCTATTTTTTTTTTACTGTCAATATTGTACCATGTTCATAATAATTATGTAAAAGTAGTATTGTTGTGTTACTGTTTTTAAGGAATAGAATAAATGCTGAACTTGAACTTAAACCATGGCATATACGAATGAGTCTTAAATGCACTCTTTTTCCCCTGTGGACTACTGCTGCCATATTCTTTGATCATGCATCAATAAATTTGGACAAAAGATTATAAAGATGAATTAATCAATCAGCTATAATCAAATCAAATTCAAGTATCAATAAAGTTTAAGAACATATAACAAAGTCCATTGACATATATAAGGTTTTCAGTGGGTTGGTCATAATTGACATGCCTAACTTAAAAAAATCATTTGATACCATGGCTAGTAAAACCACTTTGAGGTACGAAGCAAGAGCAGCAGCTGAAAATGATGAGAAAAATAAATAATGAAACATTAAAAAATTGAAAAATGAAAATGAAGATGTGTGATTACATGAATGGCAAGTGTGGGAGTTTGTAGGCTATACAAGGTATTTTTCTTTAAACAACATAGTATAAAGATTATTGATGTGCTTTTGTCATTTCATTTTTGCTGCATTTTTGTAAAGGTGATTTACCAATTGCATCATGTTGAAATTAGGCTTCATAACCATAACATCATCCTTTGTTTTCAGCCTCCACTGAGTGTTGAATCATCCTTAGTTGGTGTGATGTTCTTGTTGATTGGAGGAACGTACGCCTTGTTTGCTCCTGTGTGGGGCTATGTAGCAGACAAAACGGCAAGTTATTTTTCAGAAAATTTTATTTGAAGTTACAATGATACACTGAAAAAGATTAATTAAACTTTATTTCTTATTTGCAGTAATGGATCTGGGTGGGGGGGAGGGGGTCACAGGGGGCTTGCCCTCAGCCATGCAAAAAAAAAAGGGGGAGGGGGAGAGAAAAGAAGAATCATGGGCTGATTTTTTTTTAGCCTGTTATAAAAAAATGTATTCACAGAATGTTTAGAGTTCCACTTCTTCTTCTTCTTCTTCTTCTGCCCCTTGTTCTTGTTCTTCTCCTACTTTTCCTTCCTTCTTCTTCTTTTTCTTCTTCTTCTTCTTTTCTTCTCCTTCTTCTTCTCCCCCTCTAGCTCCTCCTCCTCCTCCTTCTCCTCTTCCTCCTCCTTCTTCTTCTCCTCCTTTTTCTTCTTCTCCTTTTTCTTCTTCTCCTCCTCCTCCTCCTCCTCCTTCTTCTTCTCCTCCTTTTTCTTCTTCTCCTTCTTTCGTTTCATTATTTACTATTATTTCAAATACAGAAAACCACTCGCCTCATGATGGCTTTAGGAAGCTATTTCACTGGGATTTCCTATCTGTTGGTTGGTCCAAGCCCCCTTCTTAATCTCCCAAGGTAACTACTTTTAATCCCTTCCTTGCCACATGACCCATTCACACCGACGCCAAACCTCCAGTTTGTATACGTCCGAACAAAGCAACAAAAAACAAAATTATTAGTGAGGTTTGGACCGTGGTTCAATCCATACTGAAGGCTTGTTCAGATATGATGTGGTAAAATAACACAAAAAATGCTGCTGCTGCTGTATTTTGTAAATGAATGGCAACTGTGCGCAGTAAAGACAGTGTACGTATTCAAAAAGCTCTGTGTATAAGATACAGAAATGTACGTGAAGGGTACGTATTACACTTAAGATCATCATAAATAACACATAGTTTTGCCCCGTCATTGCTGAAAGAGCCTTAAATAAACCTATTTTTAGCAAGCACTGTACCTGTGATTAAAGTAAAGGTGGAACATTGATGTTTTACATCCCATCATGCATTTCACTTCCGGTACAAAATTTGTTTGCTGTTATGCCCATCATGGTGGGCATTCAGGCAGTCTGCGATCTTGTGACCGAACAAAGGTGATAGAGGTTTGCGACTTGTTTGAATATGTGCAAAGATCATCTATGTTTGGAACCAGCGCTCAAAATACACGGGGGCGGTGGGCGATTCGCCCCCGTGAGCTACATAATCGCCCCCGTCAGGTTGCTCACGGGGGCGATTGCAAAATTAAAAATCGCCCCGGTGGAATTATAAAATAAAGATTATCTTTTCTGTTATAACTTTAACACAATATTGAGTTTCAATTTTCAAACCTTAAACCAATGAAATGGAACTAAGATTAGTGTGCAAGATATCTCGTTTTATAGGCCTATTATTACCAATTCAGCTCGCAGTGCAGTGCCGCCGTCAGCAGTGGTTATAGGCCTACTGCGCCGTTAGCGGTACGTGTGCACGCTGCCGCGCCATGTCTGCTGGAGCTGGAGGCGATCGCGCAAGGGCAGAAACATGGTCAGTTTTTCGTTGTCAGCAAATAATGAACCTCGACCAGTAAATCAATATTAGGGACTTTTAGATTTGCACATTGAGAACGTGGACTGCAACGTGTGACCTCCTTTTAAGGCACTGCCAGTGCTTAAAAGGACGTGACGTGTGACTGCCAGTGCCTTAAAAGGAAGTAACACGTCCACGCAAATCTAAAAGTCCCTATTGAGAAGAAGAGGAAGATGAAGAGAACAAGATGTCGTGGAATGATATGATAACATGGGCAGATCTACGGGGGGGGGGGGGGGGGGGGGTTTAAGGGGTTTAACCCCCTCCTCCCACCCCCCCCCCCCCCCCCCCCCCCCCCCCCCCCCCCCCCCGGCCACCTTGGGCTGCGGGGGGAGGGGGATGCTGGAGAGGAGGACTACTAATCTATTTTATTTTTTTCAGGGGGCGGGGAGAAGTGAGGCAGATAACCCTAAGTTTTTGGTTGCTGCTTTATATGTAGTTGATAATGCATGATTAAAATAAAGAGAGAGAGAGAGAGAGAGCCACCATCATTTTGCAATGGTTCAGGGTTTGTGTAATGTACATTTGAAACCATTTCTTAGCGTCTCAACCCTAAAAAAATAACAAAACTATTTTTGAGGAAAAGCATTATACTGAATTAAATATCGAATAATCTAATGGATCATACTAATACTGATACGGGCTAAAGACAATGTGGTATTTGTAGAGAGGTATTCCAAAATGACATTCTGATAATCAACATTTGTTCTGGTATCATATGTATATACGCATAATACAACTGATCTTTATGATTTCTTAACGTGACATCGCTTCTTCTCCCTCTGCAAATAAAAAAGAAACCAAGGTTATTTAATAAAAGGATCATGTGACAAATAATCTTTGTGATTCAAATCGAAGCGAGGATTTTTTTGAATAAGCAATGCTTTTCACCAGAATCTTCTTTGTAAAAACGACTTTTACAAATCTCAGCCATGCAAATCTGCCACTGTGTTGTAAGGTCTCTTTCAGATTAGGAGAAGTGTATTCTTTAATGAGTATTTTACATTGAATGGAACGTCTCAACTCAGTAAGCATGGCTGAGATTTGTAAAAGTTGTTTTTACAAAGAAGATTTGGGTGAATAGCAGTGCTTATTCAAACAAATATTCGCATCAATTTGAATCACAATCATTATTTGTCACTTAATCACTTTTAATGACCTTGTTTTCTTTCTCGTTTGCAAGGGGAGAAGAAGATATGTCAGGTTAAAGACATCATAAAGATCAGTGTTGTGTGCGTATATATTGTATACACAAGCCAGTAACAGCTATGTAGCTTGTAAATTTGTAAGAGGGAAAATGCTGATTGAAATGATAATGATGAAATAGCAAATAATTGAGGAGTATCATAGGTACCAATTCAATGGATATTTGTATAAAAAAGAGCCCCCCTCAGTACTAAAAGAGCCCCCGTGAGAAGGCGGGGGCTCTTTTAGTACTGACGGGGGCTCTTTTTTATACAAATATCCATTGATATTTTTTTGAGGGGAAGAGCCCCCGTGGACAAAAAATTGATTTGACCCCTGTTTGGAACGCGTGTGAAAATCTGTGTTTGGTTTTTTTGCTGTCACCTTTGAACCTCATTTTTTTCAATTCTTATGAAAATCAGTTAAAATTTATTTTTAAAGTGGTCAGTTTCTTGCGGTATCTTGTATGCAAACAGCGTATTGACTGGATGGTTGGCATCCTCCTTCCTTCAGTGTCAGATCAGGGTTAGACGAGCCATGCAAGCTAGTGTCTCGTCTGATACAAGCTGGGTTTCTTGAGACCTTGTCTGGGAATGCTTATACCTACCGGGTATACTAAATAATGCCTGCACCATTATAGTGAATTATATACTTCACTTAAGTAATCCAACAATCTGATTGGTCGAAATTGCATTCATAAACTTTTACTGTTCCCGAAAATTCCCGGTAACCATGGTTAAAAACAGTTCAAAATCCCAATAACCATGGTTATTGGGAAAATAGGTCAGTCTCCATGGTTACCCCATAGGTTTACATGTTAAAAAATGGTCTGAGCGATCGAGGATACCATACGTGTGCGAAGAATTGGTCGGTAATTTCAATACAATTGAATCTCGATCGATCTTACCGACAATTTTATCTTGCATTGTTGACATGAAGACGAAAATAAACTTCCAAAAACAAAAAAACAACATCTGCCGATAGATCTTGATCTAAATTCGTGCCAATATGCATTGCAAAAGTAAAAGAAGGGCCTGTTTAATGGAGCAGCCGCGAAGCATCCACAACGCGAAGCCGTTTTCAATGCATTTTAATGTATATATAAGAAAAAACTGCTATGTATGGTAACAGAGCGCGATAGCCGAGCGGATTAAGGCACTGGTTTACTTACATCACCTTTTGTACGCAAGAGATCAAATCCCATCTTCGAAAAAAGTTTTTTTTTTTTTCTTTTTTCTTTTTAAAATTTTTTTTTTTTTTGGCATATAAAAGTATTAATGACTGCTTTAATATTCGAGAAATAGTTGTTTTTATATGCTCTCGGGAAGGTTACAATTGGGCTATCACCCTCGGCACGCCTCGGGTAATAGCACAATTCTAACCTTCCCTTGAGCGTATAAAAACAACTATTTCTCTCAAAGGAGTCATTAATACTATACCAATCACCCCCCCCCCCAAAAAAAAAAAAAAAAAAAAAAAAAAAATCAAAAATCAAAAATCAAAAATCAAAAGGCTTGTTCTGTACAATGTCTCTTATAAGGTCCATATCGCTATTCTATATGCAGAATATGAGCTTTGTAAATCACTTCTACCAAGAGATATTAAACGTTTAAGTGCAACGAAAACAAAGCACAGTTTCATGCTTACAATGTCTCAACTTCCTATGTTTATTCTATGTTCAAATCTAATTTCTATGGTAACTAATATTAAGATGATCTTTCCTCGTTTTACAGTCGGTTGTGGATTGTCATCGTAGCACTTGGATTTCAAGGTTGCATCTGTGGAATTTGTATCATGCCAGCACTTCTAGATCTATTTTTAAGTGTCAAGTAAGTAGCTAGTCAAACAGTCACCAGGCCCAGTTACATTGCAAATTGTTTAAAGATAAACTTGAGTACTGGTAATGCGATTGCATTGTGAAAGAAAAGGTGTGGAATGGATCAGAAAAGTTGATCATATAGCATGCATAATGCATAATGGTGTGTAATGCAAGGTTCTGGAGTCATCAAAATCATCATAAATTTGGCAGAGTCTTGGTAAAGTAACAATCACTTACACAGAAAGATGTATATGGGACAACACACATGGTGTCAGGGCTAGTACTACCCTGATTTCCTTATCTTTCTAAGCTCATTACTCAGCCAGTATACATTTTCTTCCAAAATTGTTTGGCACATGACATTTATTTGTAATCTTGAACATTCAGTGTAAGTTTCGTTAGATTCTGTGAGAATTCATTTTCTTTTTTTACCAGAACTCAAGTTTATCTTTAAGTTGTTCAGTTTTTTAACTACCATTTACACTACTATAGAAACTCATAAAAAACATTGGTGTTTGCTTATTCATGTTTTCTGGTCTTCTCGTGAGTTGATTCTACATGTTTACTTTCACTTTGTCATGACAAAAATTATAAAATGCATTATTTAGAACGTTTGAATCAATAGACCACTTTCGTAATGTACCATAATTAAATTGCCATGCCATGTTGCAAATTATTTCATTTACCTGCTACAAGTAATTGTATTTCAATAGTCACATTGTGAATTGCATACATTACATGTTGCTAGGTAGGACAAAGGGGACTGGAACATGAAATTAGGATAACAAAACAAAACCAAAGACAGCAAAATTATTAAAAAAACAAGTTACTATCTTATAGATAGGTAGGCTATATAGCTATAAGAAATGTAATTGGATGACAACCAACGGGTCTTTATGAAATGTCATAGTATAAAGACGTTACACCAACAGAAGTACTGTTAATCACACTGGATAGGATTACAATAACAAAACCAAAAAGTACTCTTGAACAAAACAAAACAAAAATTGTTTTTCATTGCAATAGTACCATAAATAGATTTCAAGGAAGCAATACTTTATCTGTCTATATATGACTGGTTACTAAGTTCATGTAGGTATTACAGTGCAACCTGCCTCTAAAGACCAATCAAAGGAAGACAAGAAGTTGGTCTTCGTAAGCAGTTGATGTACAGGTTCTTTTAGGACAGAATTCAATGAGAAACAATATGCAAGGGAAAAAGAAAATGTGTTCTTTATAGAGGGATGTCCGCCTACATGTGTAGGTTTGATTCTATCAATTGTGTGATGTGTGTTTTCTGATTTCTGGTTCTTGCAGGTGGTATGGGCACCCTGATGATCTTGCAACACAGTCTATCATATCTGGACTCTTCAATGCCGCTTATTCCTTAGGGTATGGCAAAACAATAAGTTGTTTTTTCCTTCTTTTTTTCCCTTTTGAACAAAGTTTAAAGGTATTGTATTGTATAATACCCTATACCTTCTTCCTGTATGGTTCACATTTGAAGTGGGCAGCTCATTCATGAGGAAATGCTCTAAAAATGAAAGATTATCCTTTATTATTATTATTTAAAGATTATTATTGCATTTAACACCTAAACAAAGAATACCAGCACAGATTAATGAAATATGTCAAGCTGTCTCTAAATCGAAATTACCAATTCTATCATTAAATTTATTTTTAGTAGTAGAAGTAGTGGTAGTAGAAGTAGAAGGAGTAGTAATGATGCTAAAAATAGTAGTAGTAGTGGTGGTGGAAGTAGTAGTAGTGGTGGTGGTGGTGGTGGTGGTGGTGGTGGTGGTGGTGGTGGTGGTGGTGGTTGTAGTTGTAGTGGTAGTAGTAGTCTTCCCGATTTTACCCCTATTTTCCCAATCTTCTTACTCAGAAGCAGGGAATATCGTTAGATGCCATTCCCCCCCCCCCCGAATCCTTTTTTTTTTTTTACTCAAGGGGGGGGGGGGGGTGGTTGAGGAAAAATCACCCCTGAAGTAGAAGTAGTAGTAATGATACTAAAAGTAGTAGTAGTAGTGGTGGTAGTAGTAGTAGTAATACTCAAAGTAGTAGTAGTAGTATGACTACGATGACTATTTAGTGGTCATGTAACAATGATTCCATCTTCCCAATATCTTTTTTTTTTATTCCTCCAGGAGTTTTATCGGACCAACAGCAGGAGGCGCCTTAGTTCAGCAGATTGGATTTGTTTGGACATCAACATATATCGCTGGTGGATGCTTTGCCGTCATGATTATGGTCTGTCTGTTTGGTGTGTGGGAGTTTCAATGTGGAAAGGGGTAAGATTGTAAAGAATACTTTTATATTTATTACGCTAAAGGTGCCACTTTGTCTTGAAGTTTCAGTTATCAAAAAAATAGATGATCATGATCATGATGATCATGATGAATATGGTGACAGTGATAATAATGATAAGAAATTATGATGATGATGATGATGATATGTTGATGGTAGTGATAATGATGATGTTGATGAAAATGGTGACAAAGATGAGGATAATGATGAGGATGATAATGATGATGACACCTTTTTATGTGGAATCCGCTTTTGCCAGGTGCTCGTAACAGTTCTCCTGTACGAAATTTAAAGTTTTTAGAACAGTTGCTTGTCCATCAACATTCTTGATCTTAATTCTTGCAATGGTGTCAAGGGATGTTGCAAGGAGAAGGATGTGTTCTAGTAATAATGAAGGATGATTTGTTAACTTTCTCATTCTTTTTATTCCTACATGAAAGAATATGATAGAGGTAACATAAATACTTGAGCCTAGTACTAAGTATATCAAATGTCTGAAGAGTTAGGGAATTTTTGAGGTCATATTTTGAAGTGTTTCAGTTATGAATAACCCTACTATTTATTTCCAGCACAACAACTTTTTCATAATTCTGTTTATTTTGCAGGCGAAGAAAACCTAGCCACATGAAGAATGCTGCCAATGGTGAACTTCCAGGTGATGAACAGCACATTGTCAATGCTTGAATGGAGCTCTTGTTCCAGTATTAAATTAACCTCGCTCCAGAATGTATTTGCCACTGCCAACTCAATAATTTGTTTTGTGTGTGTTATCTGAGACTAGATATTAAAGCCTTACAGTACTTTACTCCTGCAAAAACATAAGTAAAATTCACGTTGTACTAATAGCAATCAATAACTTGTATTTAAGATTAGAAAGAAAAATATTCTTTTCTATGTTTGCTCCATTGTTGGATGTATAACATATAGAGCTGTTGGGTCATGAATGAATAATTAAATGTACCTTTAATGTTCATCCAGTATACATATCAAATACTTTGTGGAGTATATTTATTTGATGGCTTTGCATGAGTGGGATACAGGAATATTTTGCTTGAGCTGTGACAATATCGAGAACAGTATATTTTTGTATCACACCAAAACAAAGCCATACAGTATTATTATTATCATCTTTATCAGGCTGACTAGCGTAATAACAAAATTTGACTTAATTGGTAAATATGGCTTTGTTTGGTGATATCAATATCAATAGTTGGAAGTTTCTGGATGACTAAGCAATTATGAAAATAATATTGATCACTCATCCGGTTACTGCACTAAAGATAGTGAATACACTGATTTATCGTACCATTTGGAAGCCTTATATAGATAATAATATTTTCTATTGAACAATATCTTGTAATGTTGGTCTCTTCTTCCAAAGTATTATGGGTAACGAGGTACCCATAAAAAGACACCTAGTGAAGTATTTCTCAAAGAAATATACTATTTAGAGGATTACTATATATTTTTATGCCTGTGCATGTGACTAGGGCATATGTTTATAATTTTTTTTTACTGGTTTTTCAACTTTAAAAGAAAAATCATGTACTCATGTATTCAACCAAGAGGGAAAATGCCCATCACATCATTGTAGTACTTTAAAGATTAAGAATGAAGTTTGAGATTCATAATTTAGTATTAGTCTCAAATACTGCCATTCATATATCATTTATGTATTGTATTCTATTAATTGTGTCAATCCAAAGATATTTATCATAACTGTATAAATAAAAGCTTTAGTACTTCTGTCTGACATCAGCAAGTGAGATTAACAGCTACTTATATTTCTCAGGCTATTTAAAATTAAAAATGTATAAACATGTATATGTATGTCATGTTCTTTGCTGCTTCCCCTATAGCGCTATACATGTATGTGATGGGGTTGAATAAACCAAAGCAAAATACTTCGGTCAAAATATCAGATTTTTTACCTTTCATTTTGCAAGGTATTATCATTTGACAGTATGGATATTTCAAAACATTGTTAGTATTTAGTATTTTTAGTATTTAGTATTTATTGTCCATTTCTGGATATTTGATTTTCACTGGTGTAACATATACAGATTAACATTTACTAATGTATTTACAAAAATGTAGACATTAACAGTGAATACACAAGGTTTAACATATGATTAAGCACAGATTAACAGAGGATCGAATGTTGTTTTATAAACACTAATTCAGAACAATAATGGCTGAATGTAATTAACAAAAATCCTCCAAAAAGAATGAAATTAAGGGTAAATCCAACAGAAACACCAGTGAAGGTTGCCACAGTGCGGCGCCCGTTTGCGTTTTAAGTGCTAGAGAAACGACATTGTTTAAGTTTTCTCTAATGGTCTTATTTATTTGAATGAAATCCAACCCAAATAGACAACTACTCTAACAGAAAAATCAGAAAAGCACAATGATGAGAGTTATGAATTTTTGAAAGTTGTAATACGTATACGTATGGGCACTTCAAATTGGCTTAAGCGATAATGTCAATGTGATGTAGTGCCAGACTAATTTCCCATCTGTTCCAACATATAAAATGACTAAAATTTAAATTTTTCAAAAAATCATGGGTTAGGAGGGTCTTTTTTTTTAGAGGACCTATAATAATATGATATCTATAAAATATTTTGAGTAGTGCCCCAAGGGAGAAGGAACTTACAAGAAAATCAGAAATTAGTGATATTTTTGTACGCGGCAAATGGGAGAGCTTATTATCCACGTCCTACGTCACAGTCCACTGACCAAACTACTAAATTACTGAGACTCTTTCTTATATTTGCAAGGTATTTGTATTTTAGAACATGGTATTTTGACGTCAAAGTATTTCCATTTTCATGATACATTGATCGTCTACTCTACGAAGGATAGTTATAAACTTTACTATCAAAATAAAAGTATTTTTTTAGTTCTTGATACATTCTGAGGCTGGTAGTTAAAATTATGAACTGATTTAGAGAAAATGGCTGCTGCAACTCGGTTCTATCATGAAATCAGTTCGTGGGCACCTTTATGAAATTAGACTCGTTCCGATCAAAATCCTTGAGTGCCACATTTTTTGGGGTCTATTATACATGTATAATGTATGTGTGACAAAAACTTGTCTGTTGCAAACCAGCTTGTTCTATTGGTCATGCAAAGCTGGCAAAGAGTTATAGTAGAATAGCGCCACAGGTTTGTCAACTTATTCTTTCTCACCAAGCATTGGTCTGTTTTCTGGTTTTTTGGTCTGTATAATCATGTAGAATATGGATAATGGCCAAGTATTAATTTCCATAATGATATAATACAAGTACATTGTACATGTGTATTCAAATGATACTGGTTTGTGATGAATGAGTTATGATTATATGATTGATAAATTATAATAAATATATAAATTTTATATAAATGAATCTCCCAATTTTGCATATCCATTCATTCTCATTTTCGTCTGTACTCATGCATATAGAATGTATGCACATGCATTCATCAAAAACACACCTGCGGACTATCTTACAAAAGAGTTGAGATTAATCCAGACTGATCACAAGTCCTCTAATCAATCGCATACCAGGAACTTCCACAAAATACCAACTCTTTAGTACAGAGTTTTGATTGATATCAAGTTGTGATCAGTTTCAATCACTCGCATCTGCGTATAAGACGGGGCAATATTAGCGTCTTTCGGATGGCGACGTTAAAGGTCGGTCCCCAGATGTAAATGATCATATCTGATTGATACACGTCTGTAAAAACCCAATTACACACACACACTGAATTTCGTGAATATAAAGGATGACTCCAATAAGACGAGAACAAAGAAAGAAATCACAATCCTCGGTTCGTAATTGCAAATTCAACAGGAATGATTTAATACAAACATGAGATTGCATTAATGTGGCAATACTCGCACCTTTCAACAGTTTAATATTTAGTATTTACAAAAAGAGCCTGCAGGCAAATTCTATATTGCAGACATAGAAATTGAACATCATAATCACAAACACGCGCCCAAGTTCTAAATAGAATACTTCACTATCAAATAATTTGCATTGGGATAAATTCTTTGGGTATGGTGTACACTGGAACTGTAAACGGTTTGCTAAAATCAAGACAGAACAGAAAATTTATAACATCGGGCAATAGTGGGTGAAAAAAGATATTCAGCAAATAAAATGGAGATGAAAAATTCACAATTACACTAATGGACCTGCCTTGTGAAGTTTGATGAAACTTAGAACTTGAATTTTGTAGAGACATATTTTAAAACATATCCATTAAAAAAAATGGTTCATAAAAAGCATACACGGCTTCTTCCAGGCTGTTGTCTAATCTTTATTTCTGGGGTATTAACATCTCTTGTTTTCTTTCTTGTGCAAGCTGCAAGTTGTAAAATAATTGGAAAAAATTAATCAAGAACCAATGATGATGATGTCTTCAATGAATTATGTACTTTCATTTCTTTTATAAGATCCATGGTAAAAATATGACTTGTAGTACGTCAAAATTAATCTTAAGTCAGTGACTCCAAAATCCAAGGGGTCATGTGTGCAGGGCAGGACATTGAATTCAATTAAAATGTAACTTGCGGTTATTTAACATCATGATTTCATGTGTCTTGTTTGTGCACAATGACAACACTTTGAAATAAATAATATTGATGTACCCGCATCCACAACATAATATATTCAGTTAACATAAGTACTCCAGGCTAATGCTAGTTCATACAGGTAATATCAACCATGGCATGCACTTAAAGGGTCCGCCATTTTGATCTGATGCGCACATGCCTGAGACACTGGTAAGATACTACCATCTATGTACATACTTTGCATGCAACATAAATACAAAAATCAGCTTCAAGCATGGGCAGTATACATCAAGTGATGATTTCTTATGCAAATCAATTTGCATTTTCTTAGGTTTATTCTCTAATCAATTGATCTCGTAAGATTTTAAATGATATTGGGGCAAAATCGGCCAACAACTCTGGGTGAATCGAGAGAGACAAAATGTTGGATGAGGAGGAAAACCTAGTCATATTTTCATTTCTATGGTCAGAAGATATGGGAGTTGGAACATCCGAGTTTAAGTACATAAGAATCCACCTTCTTGGTTACCAGACTGAAAAGGAAATTGCATTCTATCGTCACCTTGTGATACTGTTCTGCGAGTCTCACAAAACTTGTCATCAGTGACAAATGACAGTTTTTGTTATAAGCTAGTGAAATCCTTGCTTCGGATTGGTTATCAGCAGATTTGTCAATGATTTAGGTCATTTGTCATTTTAAAAGGGCTTTTTGAAATGCCACCCCCCCCCCCCCCCAGATGTTGTCTTACAGAGAAGGATGTTGATGTATTAAGGTATGATTGCATAAAAATGATATTCTCAATTCAATAAATTTCTTCAATTCAAACTTCATTCGTAAGGAGAAGTTTCGAAGAAGGTAGGTTGCCAGCCGGAAGAGGACACCACTCCCTTCGAAGGTGACTCAGACATGACATTGTATTCTATCTCTCATCTCTTAGGGAATTGTCTCTGGGTAGTTCCAGGGTATGATGCTGATATATCAAGGCATGATTTGACAAGATGTCATTCTTGGATAACTCCATATCATCAACTTGAGGTGAACCTTGTCCAATAGTGGAAGCCCCCCCCCCCCCCCCCCCCCCCCCCCCCCCCCCCCCCCACCCGAACAGAGGATACTGTCTCCTGTACTACTCAATTCAGACACGACATTGTATAGCACCTCTCATCTCTTGATGATTTTTCCATGTGAAAGGCAATGAGAATGATGTTGGTGGATGTAGGGCACGATTGCAGGAGTCCCATGTCATCAGTTTCAAGTGAACATTGATCTCCTTTGACAGTTCTCAAACGATGGAAGCATGCGGTGCCAGAACATAGAGGTACAAACACATACATGTACAGACATTGTCCTCTACAGCACCATTACTCAACTGACACAGAGCAATGTCCATGTAGAGTTCAATGAGAATGATGTCCATGATGTATTGAGGCGTGATTGCATAAACATGGCATCCTTGGTTGATCATCATTTTGAAGTGAAGGTCGATCTCCTCTGACAGTTCTTATAAGATGGAAACGTTTGGTGCCAAAACACAGAAATATGAAACAAGCGCAAGTAATCTTCTTCGTTATTTGGCTAAGCCTATGTGCTATCCATTAGGTGTTCCATGAGAATGATGTTGGTGATATATCAAGGAATGATTGCATACAAATGAAATCCTTGGATGATCATCAATTTCAGGTGAATCTTGTTCTCCTCTCCTGTGCTCTGTCCCGATAATTACCCTGTAAAAGAAAAGAACAATGTCAAAAAATATGGGTGACAACAATCATGTGTGATTTGAACGGAGGGAAATCCCTTTTGACATAGTTAGGTACATAAAGAGAAAGCAGTCAAATCAGAATAACAGTCTAAGGAAAGTCGAAGAACAATTCAGAAAATAAACATGGAAATTTTGGGAATTCATGATTGAGCAAATCTGGGTTGTGCGTAAAGTGACTTTCTCAAAAGATAAGAATCTCAAATTGGGACATCGCTACATATCAATGGGATTGTTGTAATTGTTATTTCTTGCTATTTGCCTGTCCCCCCCCCCCCCCCCCCCTCTTCAACTGCCCTGTACATCTTATTTTGTTCAGACCCTATTACTATACATTACTAATAAGAAGCATTAATGCCTGCAAACTAGTGTTGGATCACGAGAGGCTTCTGGAAGTAACTCACCCCTCCTTTGCTTCCCCCTGGTGACTGCTGCTGCTGTAATCCCGTCCTCGTCTTTAGTGCCTCCAGGTTCTGCTTGTGCAGGTCCGAGAACTGTTGATGCTTCACCAGGACCTCCTTCGACGGGAACTGTCGCTTACAGAGGAGGCAGATGAGCTTGGTCCAGTCCGTCAGGCTAGTCGGAACACTCTCCTTAGAATCTGCCGAGGAGGAGGAGTAGGAAGGGGCAGGCTTCTTACTGGGAGGGGGCGCTTCTTCCTCTGGTTCACTGTCACTGTCTCCGCCATACTGCGCTAGGATGTTCGTCTATCCAGGGGGGAAAGGGGGGGGAGGAGGAGGACAACATGTGAGAAAATAAGAAAGGAGTAGCATGGAGAAATCCAGAGTTGTGTCGGTCGATTATATTTTGAAGTTTCCCCACCTCGGACAATACCACTGACAATTAACCTTGATAATTACCACTCAAAGCACAATTGTCTATCGAGACTGACTCAAAGTCAACAGTGAATCAAACAAATGAAATAACAATTTTCATGTGCTACAAAATAAAAATACACAAGAGCAGCTCTAAAAAGAATAGGGTCTAGCCATGATGATCATGTAGCTAAATCAGAAAGCATCCACTTTGAACATTTACAACATCATCTCTACTGAATGCTTGTTAGGTGTTGCACTTACAATGCTGGCAGCCTTATTCCGTTGGTCATCACTTGTTGAGGAGCGCTTCAGGGCCAGCATCACAGACTGTTTGGTTTCTACTGGATCAGCCTAAAAAATAAAAAAAAACAGCGAAGGACAAAGTCAAAGCATATGTAGAAAATGGCAGGAAACAGCTCATATCTGGTTTAGGAGGTGGTGTGAGGTACCAACCAGAGCTCAAGACTAATAGTGAGCTTAAGGATATTGATCCTCAGATAAGAACTATGGCTACGGTACTCATTATTTGGTTGCTCACTAAAAATACATCCATAAAACTACCAAACTACCAATCCAATTTTTTTTTTTTTTTTAAATACCAAACGCTGCATAGAGCTGGTCCCTAGGATTTAGACTTAGAGCTGTAGATTCTCTGCGTACTTCCTACCTTACAATCTCAATTAATACTTCCTTCTGACATACAAAAAATAGTTAGTCTCTCAGATAGGACATTCCAGATCACCTAGTTGCTTATTAATAATGAAATGTGTACAAGGATGGACCCACCTTTTTACTGAGGACAGCAAAGCCAGCATCTGCAGAGGCTGAGGAGTTGTCTTTCTTGTAATCACTTCCACTCTTCTTTGATTTGCTATTCTTCGTCTCGTTTATGGTTGCAGCCCATCTTCTCATGTCACTTGCCACCTGCAAAAAAACACATTCATTTTGATATATTTATCATGACACTAAAAGGGATCACTAGATGACAACTTATTACGTCTATTCGGAGCCAATAAGACATTAACACAACATCCTTACGGCCCTGAAACGACAATTAACACATTTGGGGATATTAATTAATCTGAAGTGCCTTTGATTAGGCGACTAGATATTGGTGCTTTAGAAATTCCTGGATTGGATTGGAAGTGTTACAAATAGAGAGATTAAGAAAAACAACCATCAAGTTCTATAACATCAGAACATAAAAAATGAAAAGAAATAATTACAAAATGGCTATATGTTTTACATCTGTTACCCACAAATATGGGAAACCCGTCATAAATAATTTGGCAAATTCCCCTCCAAAACACTACAAAACTCATATTTATTTGTATACATAATCTTGCTTCAAATTTACTCTGTCTTTTTATAAGAATTTAATACAAATTTATACACAATTATACTGTTATCATTCACAATGAAAACATAAGATACAGTAGAACTTTGGTATAAAGAACATGAACTCATCATAACAGGGTAATTCCATTACTTGCCATTGTGCTCTAATGTAATAATGTTATGATGTAATGTCCTTTATCACAAGGAATTTGTCTATTATTCTACTGTAGCACCTGTCATATGACATACCTTCTTAGCCACCTTTCCCTTCTCTTTCTTATTCTTATCTTCCTTTCCTCCCTCCATCCCAGGCATGCCGACTTGAGGTATAGTAGTAGGCCCATCTTGCTGGGCTGGGACGTACTGAGTACCATCCCAGTACATGTACTGCTGTGTGTGTGCATTGTAGTAATACTGGTGGAGAAAACAAGGCAAGAAAAGTGTTAACATTCAAGATTCAAGATTCAAATTTTATGGTCCACATTAAAAAACACAGAAATTTGGCCTCCACTGGCAAGAGATAACAATAAATAACAAAAAAATACATGAAATGTGCACAAAACAAACACATCAATTAGATTTACAAACATTTTTGAATACATGATGACAAAAGTAAAGACCTACGCTAATGAAGAGGAGATAGCAGAGTAAGATGATAGACTGAAATGGAATGAATTAGGAAGAGCAAGAGCAAGAGCAAGAGGGAATAAAGACTGCTTGCATATCTTTATATAACATCATTACATCTCATTATATATTTGGCATCACCTTTGCCTGCCTGCAAGGGGAAAAGCTAACCTAATCACAATGACCTTTCACTCTCTGCTTTCATGATAACGGCCTGAGATTAACACTCGTCTGCAAATCATCTCAAACCAAATTTCACGTTTTGAAAGCTTACTTACAAGCAACTTTTTTTCATAACAGTTCAAATCAATTACAACAACAGTAAACAAACAAAAAATACAAGAAATCAAACAAGATTGTGCCATTCAAAATAATTCCCAATGCTTCTGCATTTCTCAATTATCTTTAAAAAATTGTGCAACAAATTAATCATATTCCACGTTTTAAATCTGTATAAAGATGCATTAGACTGGTGTATCTTTTCGGGAGTTCTAACAATATCATTGAGCGCAGGAATGAGTTTGGACTTTACCTGTGAGTTGGAGTCGTAGTACAGTCCTGTCTGAGGGTCGTAGTAGAAGCCTGATGATTCGTCATACTGGTATTGAGATACATCGGGATAATAGCCACCGTCTGAACTACTGGATGTCTGGTGCTGTAACTAAACAAGAGTAACATTTATCCTGTTTAGTGCCCACAAAATTCATCAGAAAATGTAGTTTTTCTAACCACTTGGATGTAGACTCGAAATGGTAGGTGAAATGTGTGATATCCTCTCATAACTCACTTCATAACAATAATGACACTTGAATATTTCTAACATTTGATGTCAAATCAGATTACTGGTAATCCAATATCCAGCCACAGCAAATAATACATTTATAAAGTAGCTATTCCCTTCACTCAGAGACAGCTAAAGCTCCTTTGGCAATCTATGGTATAGAAAGAAAACTTGTCCATAGAAATCACATTTTTCATTTCCTCTGTTTCACATAAAATCTTATACCTAATGAACCTGTGCACTAAGACCCTTTACTGGTTCTCTTTAAGCAGTATACAGTCAAACTTGCTTCAGAAACCACCTGTCTATAAAGGAGAAATTCTTTGTTTCCCTTGAAGAAAACAAATTCTCATTGAACCCTGTACTACAAGAACCTGTACATAAAAGACTAAAGACCACTTTTGTTGTCTCCCTTGAGCGGTCTTTATATACTTCACTTCACTGTAATCTACAAGTTTGAATGCAGTTCACTCTTGCAGTTACAGTTGGCAATGAAAAAGCGACACTTACTGTTTGGGCATTTGTCTCTGTGTCTTGCTGCTGCTCTTTCTTTCTCTTTTGTGGTTTGACCTCATGAACGATCTGGCTCAGGTCTAGCGTGTGTCCGTCCGTTCCTGGAGGTGGAAGGTCAACCTTGACCCTCTTGGGTTTCTTCTCTGGGCCACTCGCTCTGATCTTGTTGAGTAGTTTCTGGGTGATTTGCTGCTGCTCTAGCTGCATCTTACGAGCTGCTTGCACCTGCTCCTGGGCTAGCGCTACTTTGTCTACAGGTTAATTTCAAATTTACAACAAAAAAAAAATTTAGGGTTTCAAATAATGTATTTCGTACATTGTCAAGTCCTATAAAATATAACCTGTGCATGAAATGGATGAAGAATAATTCATGCACATGTTGTGCACACATTGTGCCTGTTTTGTTGCCTTATCAACAGCTGTTTAATGACAGAGTTAAAAAACAGAATGAAAACAGTAAATTGTTCAAAATTCCAAATCATGTTCCAACATAAACTTTGCGTTTTCATTTTTTTAAATTTTATAATAAATTGTTGATGTTATTGTACCGGTACTTATTATCTTCTTTCAGATAAATGAGTTTCATTAGAATAGTATAGCAGCAATTAAAAAGAAGAAAAGAAGAAAAAAAATTGTCAATTTGAACTTTACTGCAAATCTCTGTCCTTTTGTGGTTTTTTTCTTTCTTACTTAAACCTATAGATTCTCACTGCATGACTTACCTGCTACAGATAGTTCTTTGGAAGAGTGAGCAGCTGATCCTGCTGCATAGGCTGCTGCATAGCTTTGATCATAAGCTACGGTGCCTGTGGCCACTGCCTCTGCTTGCTGCTGGTAGTACTGCTCATAAGATGGTCCAGCTTCAGCCTGCAAAAATGATTACATCACATTAACAATAACAAAAATAACAACAACAAAAGTACTAAGAACAACAGCTACAAACAAACAACAGCTACATTAATATTTTTATTCCCAAGGGTTGCTCAATGAGCCTATGAATTACTATGCAAAGACACTGCACGCATTCCAGGAATTTCTTCGTACCAGGTTCCAATTTACTCCAAACCTGGGATGAGGAAGGCGAATGTACTTTAATGTCTTGCCAAATGATATTCGTGATGCAGTTGGGACTTGGAAAATAAGGGTAGGCAGGAGACCGCCTCCTGACTGAATTTTGATTAGTATTTCTTACCTCGGCCCATGAAGAGTAATCTTCATCTGTCCCTTCTCTGCAGAAATGCACTGAAACTGGAAAATATGGAGAGAAAAATAGCTCTTAGAACAATAAAAATCAGCACGCATTTCAAAACATGTGAACTTGACTCAAACTAGTACAGGTAACTCTGCCATAAGTCAAAGTCGCACTAATCAAATTTTCCCCAAGTCCAATATTTTTTTGGGCCAAACTATGCAAAACATGTGTTATTTAGTCAAGAAGATGATTATAAATCCAAAGGCTCGTCATGTAACAACCTCTTTGTAATAGACAGTTCATGCATGTCGTTACTGTCTAAGTATAAGCACATAAATAGCACCTAGACTACATTTTGAATTCAACTGAGCACTTAAAAGAACATGTTCATAAAAAGTTATGCAATTATAATTCAGGTACACAACAATGCAGTTGTTTTCACCTAGCAATTCCCCTGTTCAAATGGTAATGGGGAAGAACTTGTCATAGAGCACTTCTTTTTCTCTCCACGAACATAAAGGAACAACTTGCGATGATACTTTCTACCTATAACATGGTCTACTTCCATATATCACTTATGTTTATCAACAGTTACCATTCATCAAGTACCATTCATCATTTGTAAATATTTCTCCACCACCAATCACAACTTACTTTGTTTTCCATCTATCACAAAGGGTGGATGCATATTGTTGAGAATCTCCAGTAAGTGGCTGGCATACTCTACAGCCGACAGCGCAGCGTAACACAAGCCTCTTGATGTGTTGGTTGTGGGGTCACGTATGAGCTGGACGTTCATGTCAACGGCCGTGATGTCATGGAGCTCTTGCTGGACCTTCTCCTCCGTGGTCAGCGAGTCCAGACCCATTAGCAGAAGAACTGTATGGAGGTGAGAATTAGAATTGGGACTATGATATACAGTTTATTCTCTACTCTGATACAAAAATAATTTATTTGTAGATTGATATTTCATACATGTGACAAATGGAGCACAACAGGCACATGACATCATACACATAACATGTGCTCTCATAGAAAAGTAAGTAAGTCATAGATTGATATTCCATACATTATAACAAATAAAGAATAACAGGCACATGAGAGCATGACAAATGAAAGACTTAGAGACTCAAGATATTGACAGATCTTGAAATTTAACTTTCATAAATTTCTTGGTCTCTTTCTGATTTAGCCCTTAAATAATATCACCAATTTGTTTCACTTGGAACAATTTGACAGCAAGCTCGCATTGCATTTTCATACTACAGTAATCAGCATTTACACAACCTTCAATAGTTTTGTGAATAATTTTGTTTCTTCATATCTACTTACTTCTTGTAGGTCTTGTACTGATTTGACTGTATCGCTCTGACTCTGTAATACAAACAAGCACACATTGCATGATTATTAAAAAAAAATAAAGAATGTACACACAACAACAAAAATGAGTTTGTCTCATCAAGTGATTCAGGATGAATACTACTCCTGGGACCCGTTTCACAAAGCCTTTTTTTCAATTACAAATCTGCTGCTAACCAATCAGAAGAAAGGATTTCACTAGCTTATAACAAAAACTATCATTTGTCACTGATGACGAGTTTTGTGAAATTGGGCCCTGTTAAGTCAGATCCTTAAGATGGAATAAAAAACAGTTTTAAACATGCATATCATTGTAAAGTAGCTATTTAGGAGATCTATTGTCACATAACGTCATAGAAGGACAAACTACAATCAACAGTTTATTTATTGCGACCATGACCCTGTGTAATCCAGACCACAAACTAATCTCATCATCACATACTGATAATTTGTTCACATTTTTTGACAACAAATATCCCTGATTGAAGTTCCGACTGGTCATATGAATAAAATAGTAAGAGTGATTGGCTATCAATTGACATTCTTGATTGACAGATGATACTTGATTTTATATGACATATTAGACAACCTGTACAATGCCTTGCTTGAGTACAATCTTTCAGGAATACACTCTTATAAATCTAATTGAAACATTACTTCATGGTCTATTCCTTACCGTTCTTCTCTATTCCACACTTGAAGCAGTTTCCTCTCCTCTTGAAGTTCTGGGTACCACACTACATTAAAAACAGGTTAGTGTTGCATTAAGATTAGACAATGTGATATGCATTATTGAACAATACATGTAAAGGTACTGTTAACTCAAGGGGAGGGAGGGGGAGACACTTTTTTAACAGAAAAGTAACAAATACAAAGTAAAACTTCTATTTTATAAAAAAAATGCTCACATGTAGTATTTTTGTCAATACATATTTGCAAAATAAGATTCAGGAATCAAAGAAAGTCAAAGAATTAAATAAAAAAGATAAGATCAACGCACGAGAACGGGAAGTACGGGGGGGGGGGGGGGGGGGGGGGGGGCTTGTTTAGTAGATTGATGCAAAAATTCAAACATTTCATTTTCTATTTTCAAAGATTAACCAGATATGAGCCACGTAGATTGAATTACCTGTGAGCAGAACCAGTCTTCATCACCTCTGCTCTTGCTGTATGTGAGTGAAGCACGCCCGTCCCCGATCACCAAAATACCCTAGCAGAATAACACACATGGAAAAGAAACAGACACAAAAGTAAGTATGTGGTACAATTTTTTCTTCTCCTCTAGCCTGAGAATTGGCTGTGGATCAAAAGAGATATGCAGTCCGTTCTCTGGTCATGCAGATTTTTTTTTTTCAATCTATAAAAGCGTTAATTTCCTTTTATTAGTTTTAGTTTAAATTTCACTTTTCCCTGAATAATTTCCTAGTACTGCTTATTGCGTATAAGCAGAAGTAATTAAATAAATGAATGAATAAACAAATTCAATAAGCTATCGGCAAAGAAACAATTTTCACATCTTTCACGTTATCTGGCAATCATGAGGGAATTGGGGGCAAGAGGTTGGAATAAAGTAAATTTTGAGCATGAAAACATGTGCCTTTGGGAATTTTGTAGCCTTTCTAATTTTTTTTTTCTTCATTTTAGTCTTCCCCAAGAAGTTAATTAAAGGGTCAACAAATACTCAACATGCTCGTTTCTGGCTTGCTTTAACACAAATTAAGCAGTTGAAAAAAAAACTAACAGAGGAGAAAAGAAAGAAGAAAAAAAGGGGAAAAAAAAAAAAAAAACATGATCAGAGTTTCCAGACTGACAAATATCTCAGTTGAAACCAGTCAATCTAAAAACCTTTCAAAAAATCCTCCTAGGAAAACAGACTTGATCTGACACTAAATAAATCAAGTCAATGTTCTCAAAATATATCACATGGAAAAAAAATGAATATAAAAATAAAGCCAAACCTCTTTGCACAAAAATATCAAATTTCAACCTGTCTAAGAAATTTAAACAAACACGTCAAGATAAGTTCAAATGCATGTAATTTCTGGAAAAAATCAAAGAGGTTTGGCTTGGCAGCAAACAATCTAGGCAACATCATTTGCAATTTGCAAAAGAAAAAAAAAATCCTCTCAACTTCAACAAAAAGCAAATGACTGCATCTTGTTCTTGTCTAAGAGACTATTACATGGGCAAATGATGACACAATGTTTTTATTTCGATCATATTACAATCCAGTATTTTTGTTAACCTTTTAAAAGAACTTGATATGGTACATGTAGGAAGAATATAGCAGCAAAGCATTTTCGATCACCACTTTCACTCTTCAAATTGGATTTTCATTTTGCATTTTTTTTCTTTGTCCATGACAAACTTTGGTTTCTAATTTGCAAATTTTGTTCACACCACATCGTGTGATCATGTGTCCATCTTTGCATCTCTCTTCAAGTCTAAGATCTACCCCTTTCCCTTCTCCCCTTCCATTTCAGAATTTCAAATCCTACCTCATCTAACGCTTTGATACACTAGGTGCTCTGTGGCAGTTCTCTGTAGGCCTTGTGCAAATGTGGTTTAAAATTATGCAGTCAAGCTAATTCTTTGCTTATCCATATTATTTTCTTTTTGTGTGTTTGAAACATGGAGGCTAAAGTATTGCCAATCTTTTTTCATATTAATCATGTCAACCCCCCCCCCCTCCCTTCCTTTTTTCATTTAGTATTTTCTCATTTTTCCACAGTGGAAGTACTTGATTGTCTTTGATTTTTCAGCAGTAATCTATTTTCTGATTTATTTATTTTAAAAATCAGTTATGCATTTCTTCTTCTCCTAAAGACATTCCTTACTTGACTGAATTTGTATGATGCTATCCCTATCAAACCCCTTAATTCCTATGCCCATCCCCCTAACTACACAAACTAGGTGCCTTGTTCTGCCTTTCTCTAGCAATACTCGACAACCCTTGTTTGCCGACTGCCTTGAAAAGCAGCAGCAGCTCTACAAAAAGGAGCGCAGGGAGAAGAATACATCGTGACTGGCACGATCTCAACAAAACCTGGTTTTCCTCCATCCATCGTTGGGCATCCGGAAGGAATTGGAACTCCACAAAAGCGAAGCCTCTTGATGCACCTAGAAAGGGTAATATAGGAGAGGCCAGCAAATGGACCCAGAGGGCAAGTGTTAGGAATGTTTGTCGATAGGCATTCACAGTTCACTCACTCACTTCTCATCACTCTTTCCCTCTTTTTTTTGTGTGTGTAATGTATGCTGGACAGGCACTTCTGGTCAACAAAGCTGGCTTGTCTTTTCGTTTACTAATTTTTTTCTTTATTTTGCAATCGAACATCTTGTTCACTTAAAAAAAATATCATCAAATGATGAGCTCGCAGCATTATAATGACTTTATACTGAAACAACACTGATGAAGGAATGTATTCACAAGTCAATGAATAAAGAATGTA